AACTCTAAGGCAGTAGTTTTCAAATTTGTGTATGTCATGAATCCCTGAGAATCTGAAAAATACTCTGTATCTTCACCCAGGAGAAACATATATTCATGTATGCACACATACACAATTTCAGGAGGTTTACAGGAAACACCCCTACCCAATCCCACCAACACCAGAAGTTAACACATGGACTCCAGGATTTACAAAAAAAAAACAAACCCTTTCACCAAGGACAAAAGCAAGCTCTCAACTCTATTTCTCTATTTCGGCATTAAGATGTTTCTTAAAATCTTCGGAAGATATCCAGGAATAAAACTAAACTGATGTTTTTAAAGATATCAGAACAAGCAATTGTAATTCAGTGAAAAAGTGGAAAACAAACCATGGACAACGTATCACCAAAAGTCAATGAGACTCAATTTTCCCACCATTTTGGAGAGCCAGAACTGCCCTCAAATCCTTACCTTACTAACATTGAGTGAAGCTAGGGGAGGAGGGGTTTCTGTTCGGTCATTAATTATTTCCACTTCTGAAACATATTGTAAGTTTATGAGCAAGATGTCTGCATGGTTGGGCTTTCCACTGGAAGAGGGACATTCTGGTAAGAAAATAAAGTTAAGGAAAATAGGGGCAAGCAGAGAACTGATACATCCCAAACCCGGCACGGAAAACACAACTCACACAAAGTTTGTGTAAAAGGTATGCCAGGAACAAGGGTGGTGATTCAAAAGAATCACAACTCTCCTCAGGAAATCTCTGCCTGTCACCGTCCTCCCGCTCAACCTTTTCAAAGCCCTATAGTAATGATCCAAAATTGGAAGCCTCAAAGGATTTGTCACCTTCTCTCTACTGGTTTTACGGAGAGACATAATGCAGTTTTAATGCCTTATGTATATATAGTTTGTCTTGAACCTAATGGACCACTCAGGAGAAATAGAGCTTTCTGCTCTTGGTGTAATACTCCTTTTATCCATACAGTACTCTTTTCACTTTTTCAGGTCTGAGATTTCCCATTTTGCAGAGGAGAAAACTACAACACTGGAAAAGAAGCCCACTCAAGGTGACACAGCTAGTTAAACCCATTTATTCATTCATTCATTCATTCTCCCACAATTTATTAAGAGTATACTGTATGCTAATTAAAAGCAGAGTAATTCCTCATTCCCAAACCCTACCAACTAAACTACTAATGCTAAAGGTCTTATTTGGTCCAGTTATGAATTCTTGTATTAAAAAAAAAAAGCAATTGTTCTTGCTGTAATTATTTCAGAAGACACCTTCCTAAGCTAGAAATCTACAACTATTGGCTAATTAAACTACTTGCCACTCAACTGCAGCAGACTCAGTAGGAAACTTCCTTTTGAAAAATGCCATAAAGGATTACTCCTCAAAAAAAAAAAATCCAAATAAACCCACCTGTGGCTCCAATAAAAAGGGAAGGGGTGGCACATTTATTACAACCAGGAAGTATTTTGTTTCCAAGACTGAGTTTCCTGAAGTAATTCAGAAATCATTTCCACCCCAAAGAAGCAGGCCACCTTTTCCATTCTGTTTAATACTGACACTTTCAAAAGGGGTGGCTACGTCTATGGAAAAGTCAGGACTCCATGTGCTGGGCTGAGCAAGATAACTTACTCTTTCACCTGTAACCCACACATCCCTATATAAGTCCTGAAAAACGTGGTCCTCTCTCTGGACCAGGTTCCCAATGCAAACACCCCCCAAACAACAATTTTCAAATGACTACGAAACCTAAAATTCGGCACTCGCCGCCCCCAATGGCACCCGGCATACACGCGAACCAGCAAAAGCCCCTATCCCCAGTTCAAATATAAACTCTGCCCTGCAGTTATTCTCCCCAAAAACAGGCGAGGCCCATTTGGTCATCACCCCACTGCCCTTCCTTGGACCAAATCCCATCAGTAGACACCCCCTCCTAAACTCCATACCTTTGCCCTACTAGCAGTACCTTACTCTACACACCCCCTCCCCAAATGATTTTATCCGCTCCTCTTCCATCCGGGCTCCAATCCCCCAACCCCCCTCCCACGACCACTCCTCTCCTGATCACTGTGCCCCCTCATAGCGTTACCCCCGAAAAGCCATCCGCGTGTCAAGCCACCCACCGACCCTCGCTCGAGTCCCAGCTCCAACAAGGAATGGGAGACAGGGTCCCCAAAGCAGACCGAAGGACCCACGAGAGGGGGAGGGGAGCTGAGGGCCGTGCGCATGCGCTCCAGGCGCCGCGGTAGCCGGTCGCCCCTAGGCCCGGAGAGGGCCCCAGCCGCCGCCGTCGTCCCCCACCCCCCCACCACTGCACATACACGCCAGCCCGGCCTCGGGCTCCGCGCAAGGAAGGATACTTAAAGCCAGCATTTTGGACTGGTAGTCGAAGGCTACCACCTCGCCCTGCAGCCGCTGCTCCTGGCACGTCCGGCACGACACCTGGCTCCCAACGCTGAAGTACTCGCCCGGAGGAGCCGCCATCTTGGGAGAGCAGCCGCGGCCGGCGGCGGCGGCGGCAGCAGCGGGCGAAAGCCGGGCCCCCAGTGAGCGCCGCGACGCGACGCACGGGGCGTGCTGACGTCAGACGTCAGGGCGTGGCCTGGTTATGGGTGGGGCGGGAGCCTAGGTAGAAGAGGAAATAAAGGGAAATCTGAATAATTGTGTTCATACTGCTGCGCCTTCTTGGTAAAGTGCTTGCAGGGTACGTTTTAAAAGTTAATGATAAATGACTTACGTGGAATGAAAAGGGAGAGGAGGAGGGAGCTGCAATCTCCATTATGTGCACACCTTGACAAAAGAGTTGAATGAATTAACTATATATTTTCCGTATGAGGAACCCGAGGCCCCGAAGACTTAACACGAAACTTGCCCAAAATGATTATACCTAGTTATAAAGTGGTAGTGGAAAGAACATTGGCTATAGAATTAGCTAAAGTGGAATCGGAATCCCAGGTCTTCCACTTACTATGTTACATGACCTTGAGCAAATTACTAAAGCTGATCATATTTCTTTATGCCTTCTGTATTAACACTCATTGAGCATCCAACAGCACTTTGAGGTAGGAATCAATGTCTTCATTTTACAGATGAAGAAACTAAGCTTGGCTAGGGTCACACAACTAGCAAGGATTCGGTCTACTTGTTTCAAAAAACGGTGCTATTTACTATTATACTATATTAGATAATACCTCATAAAGTAGTTAGGAAATTAAATGAGATAAAGTGTATAAATACGTGGCATATAGTAGATAAATGGTAGTTCCTCCATGTCGCCCATCACCCTTAGAACTCAAGATTCTTCCCCATCTTTTATCTTTCCCTCTAGAAAGCCTAGTGGGAGTGAGCAGTGGTAGTGACAAAGGGTGCCTTGAGGCAGGGGTTTGGGGCCCACCTATAGTACATGTAAGTACCTTGCAGATGAATTTTCAAGCTATATCATCACCAATTGCCATCCCTAACCTACCTACCTCCCCTCCCCCAATATAGAAATTCTGAAGCCTCATGTACCAGTAACAACAGGTTGACATTTCTCTAGACCAGAGGGAGGCAAAGGGCCAGCCCTGGTACTACTTAATCTGAACAAAGTTCAAAAGTGTTTCCTTGCCCTGCAAGAGACATCAACTTCCTAATGTTGGCCGTACATTAGTACAATCATGTAATACGGATCAACATATTGTTCCCTCATGCTTGTATTTTTTCAGAGAACTTTCCATGTCTTGTCCCCATAACAAGTCATATGTAACTGCCACTCCGGTTTTTATATGGCATTATGATTATAGGTTTTCATATATAACTGCCAGGCATTGTTAGGAAAGGCTTCCTGGAGGACGTGAAAAATCTGAGACCTGAAGGACCAGTAGGTAAAGAGAGTGGCCATGTTCTAGGCAGAGGGAATAGCATGTGCCAGGATGCATAAGAGGAGAGAGCTTGGTGATTTCAAGGAATGTAAAGTAGCTCTGAAATATTATGAAATGGAGTGTGGGGTTAGGCTGGTGAAGGTTGTCTGGCTAGAGCCAGGGCAAACTTTCAGACTTAGAAAATTTAGGCTTTCTCCTTGGGGCAATTGAAAACATTTAGCAAGAGAGTGAAATAAGATTTATATCCCGTCTCCCTTCCCCACGCCTTTTTAATTCATGAAATTTATCTCTTTCCAAGAACCCAGATTTACATTCTCAATTTTCATCCGCCCATTGGAAAACTCTCCAAGAACAAGTTACTTGAGGTAGGAAGGAACTGAGGAGCCACTTCAACAGTCTCCCACCCTACCGCCAATCCTTCTCTAGGCAGGGCTTCCCCTAGAATAGCTGCGATTTCTATTTTCTGTGTGTGTTCCTCCATAAGATTATCCCAAATTTTGTCGCAGGTGTGTGCCCTTCCTCTTTACCAACCCACTTACTATCTCATGGTTTATCTGCCCCGCAGGGTTTTGAAAGGCTAGAGGATGCAAACGGGGGTGGGGGTTGAGGGGCAAGGCATGCTTAGAACTGGAAGTATGACTTAGACTGTCCTATATGGAAGAATTCGAAAGTCTTTAAGGAAAACTCAAAACCAAGAGGCTTATCTGTCAGCCTCCAAATCAATAGTGGATGAATTCGGGCGGGAGAGTCTTGGGCTTAGGGAGGGAGGCATGGACTGATTAGCGGTGTGTGCAAATTTAGGATCCCGCTTCAAAGCCGACCAGGACTGGCTAGCTCCCCGGACACGGGGGTGTCCGTAAGCTTTCTCTGCAGATCTCAGAATATCTTTGGAGGGTAGCGGTACTGGAGAAGAGGTCCGGTTTGTAAGGAATCCTGTCCCTGGAGATTACACATCTATCTTCGTAGCAGCAAAGCAGGGACCCTGGGTGCGCCACCGACCCTCAGGTTAGTCCGTGCCTTGACCCGGAACAGCAGCGGGAAACGCCTCTACGTAGGCCCGAAGCCCACGTGCTGGCAACAGCGGCCACGTGTGGGCTCTGCGGAAACGCCTTCGCAAAGATTTGTCCCCTGCGCTGCCCAGTAGAGAGGAAGGCAGGAGAAGAGCGCTGGAGGAAACGGTACCTACGAGGGCCCAACTCGCGGGATCCTGGGACTGCCGGAGGCGGGGCAGGGGGTGGGGCTTGTGCTGGCCGCTGGCGACAAAGGCGGGGTCTGGGTCTCGCAAGGGTGGGCTTTGGGGGGCAGTGGGTAACCGTTTACTTGTCGCCAGAACTCCGTGGCTTCTGCTCTAAAGCTATCCCTAGCCCGGGTGGCTCCTGGATTGCTATGGAGTCCACACTGGGCGCGGGCATCGCGATGGCTGAGGCGCTGCAGAACCAGCTGCCCTGGCTGGAGAAATTTTGGCTCTGGGTCACCTTTCTGGGAGATCCCAAGAACCTCTTTCTGTTCTACTTCCCCGCGACCTGCTATGCCTCTCGCCGCGTGGGCGTCGCAGTGCTCTGGATCAGTCTCATCACCGAGTGGCTCAACCTCGTCTTCAAGTGGTGAGATAGCGAAGCCCTCCGGCATCCAGTTCCCCCACCCCCAAGGGCCCTGAGTCCTGTACAAGCCCTGATCTTTCAGCAGGTGCCTCAAAGGCCTGGATCTCCCCCCACCCCTACCCCCGCTAGTGAAACCATGGCGTTAAGACCTTCCGTTCCAAGTCCATGCCCCTGACTTTTCCCATTTGAGCATCTTCTTGCATCCTGTATTGAGACCTCAGAGCCCCTACTCATTAAACCAGTGTTTCTTAAAAGGGCCTTATCAGAAATCACCTAAGGGGTATGTTTAAAATGCAAATACCCCATCTCACCTCAGACACACTGATTTAGAAACTCCCGGGGAGGGCCTGGGAATCTGTATTTTAACAAGCATCTATGGTGAGTTAAGTAGCTGAAAATCCTGCTTCTCAACTCACTTTCATTCATCTATTCGTTCATGTATTTGACATAGTTTTTAAGAAGCATGCTCTGTACCAGGCTTCGCACTAGCTACTAAGGACAGAGAAGATTTGCAAATTAAGAGGGTGGTCCCTGGAACATGACCAATAGCCTAGGAAGCATTTGAAAACTTGCTAGAAATGTAGAATCTCAGGCTCTGGGCCAGAGCTACTGTATCATAATCTGCATTTTAACAAGGACCCCAGGTGATTCATGTATACAGTAAAGTCTAAAACGCAGAGCTAAAGCATTGCCTTCCAGGGAACACTTTTTCTCTTCGTTTTTCCCTTCACTAGTAGGCTCTTCACACAGACTTAGAAGCCGGGAATCCTAGGCAAGTGGGTGGGGCCCTTGGGCCTTATCTCTTTGTGCCACCTGTTCTCTCTCGGGTGCAGAAGGGAGCTATGCCTCCCACTGGGCATGTAGCTGCACCTCTCCTCACCTCAGCCTCTGTTGCCAGCCTGGGGAAGGGAAGGGAAGCAAAGCTGATAGGAGACACTTGAATGGGGTGGAATGATTTGCTGAAAAATGGAATAGGAGTTACTTCCCTTCCACTGTCCTCTGCAAGGCCTTCACCCCTGCTGTAAACAGAAAAGCAGTTGCCTAATAATTTTCTTCTTGCCCAGTTGCCTTTTGCTTTGGATTCTCTTCGCTCTCAAGAGTCTGTATAAGCCTCCCTCTCTAGTCCTGTTCTGAGTCAGACCACCTCTCCTGGGTAGACACTCTTAATGCCCCCCACTAGACAAAGCTTTCTTGTTCATCTGCTAATGTATTGAGCACCTCGTGTCTGAACAAGGCTCAGTTTTTGGTTGAGAGAGGTCTCTTCTTTACCTTCCTCCCCAGCTCTTGGCTTCCTGCTAGCATCTCTTCTGCTGTCCCATCTCATCTCTTTCTGGCCACAGCAGCCTCTTCAGTGTGTGGTTTCCCAGGATCCAGTCAAGCACCTGCTAGGCCAGGGGATTTTGAATTTTTTTGTCCTCATTCTTTCTCAGCCCTCTCTGTCCATTCTCCACTCCTATTTTCAGACGTAAGAGGCTTACCTAAATAGCTTAGGTATAGGTAATTCAGGCTGCAATTGGGGAAATGGAGAGAAGAGGAAGCAGAAGAGTCAGTGAGGGTCTGGGAGGGAAGGAAGGAGAAACAGAACCAGGTCCTGGGCTCTCTGTGGATGAGAACAGAGCTGGTCCTGCAGTGGGATGGGTAAGAGTAGGATTTCTGAGCATCTCAGAGGGCACACACACACACACACACACACACACACACACACACACACACACAATCTCTTAACTCCTTATCACTTTTTTTTAAAAATAGTGTTCTTTCTCCTGTTCCAAGGTAAAAAACCATGGCAATGTAATGGCACAGAATTGGACTCCCTTTCTGACTGCACCCAGCAGGCCCTCCAGAATACTCTCAGGTGTTCTTCTGCCCCTCTCCAATCCCCCCGGCTCTGTGTGCACATAACATCATCTTGCACCTGTTCTCTTCTAGGCTCCTGTTTGGAGACAGGCCCTTTTGGTGGGTCCATGAGTCTGGGTATTACAGCCAGGCCCCAGCCCAGGTTCACCAGTTCCCTCCTTCTTGTGAAACTGGTCCAGGTAAGAAACCTCAAACCTCCCTTTCTCAGTGTGGTTAGGGTTCGGATGAATGTTTCAGAGTACTTTTCAGCTAGGGTGGCTCAACCAGAGGCCCAGCCTCTCAGTTACTGGCTCAGAGAACAAAGAAACCCCTAGAAGACCAAATTGAATTCTGGGAGGAGAGCACCCATGCCAGTGTGCCAGCTGCCCACCTAGTTTAGAGTAGAGCCAAGAGACACAGGTCAAAGCAGAAACTTGAGCAGTGGCCTCAGGGAGGGGTGAAGAAGGCTTCAGGGTGGAGGGAGGTATGGACCAGTGCTGGGGGAAGAGTTCTTTTCTCAGCCAGGGAGAGGTAGCTGTGTTGCGCTATCAGCAGGGGCACCTGGGTTCCGCCCCAACCCTCTCATAAGCTTCTGGACCCCTCACAGGCAGCCCCTCTGGACACTGCATGATCACAGGAGCAGCCTTCTGGCCCATAATGACAGCCATGTCTTCCCAGGTGGCTACTCGTTCCCACAGGTATACCTGGGCATTGGCCATTAGTGGGGGGCAGGGGCGATGGTACCCTGGACCCAAAAGACGGAGCAGCAGGGCAGCTTGGGAGCTGGAGTTCTGAGGATCCTGGGCATTTGTGCTGCGGGAAGCCGAACTGTGTCTGGACACCCCCTGGATCATTTGCTTCTCTTTTTAGCCGCTGGGTGAGAGTGATGCCAAGTCTGGCTTACTGCACCTTCCTATTGGCTGTTGGCCTGTCCCGGATCTTCCTCTTAGCACATTTCCCTCACCAGGTGTTGGTTGGCCTGATAACTGGTGAGCAACTAAGACAACGGGATGGGCCCAGAGGGTGCTGTTGGCAGTGGGAGGACCAGTCTAGGATCTTCCAATTGTACAGCCAACTCCAAGGGCTCCCTTTTGTCTGTCTGTTTTGCCAAGCTGCATTGTAGCTCAGGGGGGTCATATCCCCAAACTCCTTGAAGCTGCTGTCACCCCACTCCTCCAGGTGCTGTCCTGGGCTGGCTGATGGCCCCCCAGGTGCCCATGGAGCGGGAGCTAAGCTTCTACGGGTTGACCTCGCTAGCCCTCTTGCTGGGTGCCAGCCTCATCTATTGGACCCTCCTTACACTGGGCCTGGATCTTTCATGGTAAGTCCTGCTTTGAAGCTTGGGCAGACTGGGCCTATCCTGCCTCACCTGTACCTAGCCTGATAAGTCTCTAATTCACTGTAGCTTAAAAAGGACACATTACACACTCACAAACATAGACTGCCCTGGGGTCTCAGCAGAACATGGGGGTAGGCCCCAAAAAGGGTGAGAACCATCGGCCCTATAGGTTCCAGAGAATGTCTCTCCTGACAGATTCTTCCTCCCCACAGGTCCATCAACTTAGCCTCCAAGTGGTGTGAGCGGCCTGAGTGGGTGCACTTGGACAGCCGGCCCTTTGCCTCCCTGAGCCGCGACTCAGGGGCCGCCCTGGGTTTAGGCATTGCTCTGCACTCCCCCTGCTATGCCAAGGTACGGCGGGCATACCTGGGAAATGGCCAGAAGATAGCCTGCCTTGTACTGGCCATGGGGCTGCTGGGCCCCCTAGATTGGCTGGGCCACCCACCTCAGATCAGCCTTTTCTACATCTTCAATTTCCTTAAATATACCCTCTGGCCATGCCTGGTCCTAGCCCTCGTGCCCTGGGTGGTGCTCACATTCAGTGCCCAGGAAGCACCACCCATCCGCTCTTCCTGACTCCAGGTGCCTCCTACAAAGCCAATACTCCATGACCTCCACACTCCAGAAGGCAGCCCCATCCCCTACGAGCCCCCCAACAGGCTCTGCTCACCTTGAATTTCCCACTTTTCCCACCACCTGATCTTAGCCCCAAAGAAGGGCCTTCTCTCCCAGAATAGCTGGTCCTCCTCCAGCCGTTTCTTCCATGTCCCCAAAAAGTAAAGGCAGTAGCAAGACCAGTGATTCCTACAACACTGTGAGGGGCTCAGAGTGGCCCCAATAAAGCCCTTGAACAGTTTTGGGCTCTCTTGCCTATGTGCCACTGAATTTGCCTGCATGTGTACAAGTGGAACCCTGGCCAGGCCACCTGTTCTCCACCCCCTTCAACCGTGTTTCCATAGAGAAAGAGAGTCAAAAGGAAACTAGAGGGCTGTCAACTCAGTTGAGACCTTCAGCCCTGGGTACTGTCACCACCTAGGCCACACCAGAGTTCCCATAAAGTGCTATGGCTACATTCAGTGAAACCTCATCTTTAACCTACTGGACAGAGATCCCACCCCAGCCTCCTGTAACCTAAATTGGTTAGCCCAGGGGCTGGAGAGACAAAGAGCAGTTTTTTGACTAGGAGGGGGAATAAGAACGTCTACTCCATTTGGGAGCCCAGAGAACAGAGACACTGGCCCCAGAAGGCACTGCCAGAAACAAGTTTATTTATACAAGGACACACAGTGTAATGGGTTACAAAATACTTAACTGAAAACCATATCCAGGGAGACAAAGGAGTGGGTTTACATGAGAACCAGACCAGCCATGGGGGGAGGGAGGGTAAGGGGTCCAGAGCTTGGGCTCAGCATGGGGAGGCCTGGCACGCGGAGCCTAGCCCCAGCCCCACCCCCCAGGAGGATCTGGAACACACTAACAACACACAAGACACAAGCACACAATGAACTGATGGTGGTGGGACTCCTGCACCTCCCCTGGCCCCCTCAACCCTGTTCAGGCCCCCATTAGGATGATAAATATGTAAACAGATTGGGGGGCCCTGGGGATTGGAGGAAAGGAAGTGTATGTGGTGTTGGGAAGGAGGAGGGAGGAAGACTCAGCCCCCTAGGAGCCACTTCCCATCTTTGGTTTCCTGCAGTCTAGGCAGCATTCCCTAGATCCTTGTGGACCCCCAGCCCTGAAAACAGCTAGGCTGGGCTCTTGGGAAAGAGAAAGGGTGGCACCTCCTCCTGGTCTTAGCTCCCTTGGGCTGGTGGTGGCCAGCAAAGGAAGCACAGGAGGACGGGAGCTCCAGCTGAGGGCAGACTCCTGGGTTGCTAGGTTCCGCCTCTGCCCCTTCTAGAGCCCCCACTCTGGCCATCCCCAGGCTTCAAAGCAGAAGACCCCAGGAGGGAGGTGGGCCACTGACCCTTCTACTTGCAGCATGCTGGGATGACTGGAGAAATCTGGTGCTGAACAGCAGGGGGGCTCTCACCAGCCTGCAGCGCCCCCTACAGCGACCGCCTTCTCCCCCCATCCCAAGGCCCTGCTAGCAGAGGGGCAGGGAGGCCAACAGTAAGGTAGACAGCAGGCCTGAATTTGCAGCTCTTCCTCCAGGCCCATCAGAACCCAAGAGTCAGGCCCCATCTCTCCCCACCCTCTCCAGCCCCTGGAAGGGGAAATAGGCCCTGAAGAGTGTCAAGCAAGACAGCCCTGCCCACAGACCTCAGGCCCACATCCTAGGGCGCAAGCCTTCCCTTGGTGCTGAGGCCAGGAGAAAGGAGAAGAGGTCTGTGCAGAGATGGTGAGGACAACAAGAGGGGAAAAAAGGTGGGGTATCACCAGGCAGGAACCCACCTCCCCTCCACTCTACATCTTAGACTGTAGAGGGGCCCTCCAGAACCTCCTGAGGCTAGAGAAAGGAGGAGGGTGAAATTAAGGCGTTGCCCCCTAAGTCAGCAGAAGCCAAGGCACCAAACTTCCTGTTCCCTCCTCACTCAGGGAGACTCCAGAACCAGAAAGTACTATCTGAGCCCCCATGCTCAGCCTGAACTGGCCCAGGCTCCAAGGGGGAAAAGGACAGAATGTGGGGAAAGTGGGTGTGAAATACAACATGGGGGAGGGGCTGGAAAGGGCACCCCCAAGTCCTACAGAGGGAGCAAACTTCTACTAGAGTTGCGATAATGGGCCACAGGGGAGGGGGCCTGAGGCAGCTTAGAGGAGCAGGAGGGGCGAGGCTGAGAGACCCACACGGCACACGCTGTTGAATGTGTGACTTTTTGTTTTTAATAGAAAAAATAAACAAAATCACAATGATGAAGCCCAGAGGGATGGGGGCCGGGGCGTCACAGGGCAGGCTCCTGCTCCATGGGCTCCTCTGCCGGCCTGTGGGGACAAGCACAGGAAGGGACATTGAGTGGGGGGCACTACCTTTGACAAGGGCATAGAGGCTGAGGGAAACTCACCTGGGGCTGTGTCCCCGGGCTGCAGCAGCCTGGGCCTGTTCGGCCCCCACCGACAGCAAGGCCATGGCACTCACAGTCTCGGCCTCCTCTGTCTCACCTGCCTGGGCTTCCCTCAGGGAACGGCCCAGACCAGCGGCAAACCTCTGCACACAGCTCCAGTGTTTGCCTATGGATGAGAGGTGGGCAGGGGGTTAGGGAAGGCACAAACCCCCATATGTACATCCCAGCCCTGGCGCACCCAGAAGCTCCACCCCCTGAGCAAGGTCTGAGCCCCTCCGCCTGTCCCCACACACTCTGGATCTCGATGACTTTCTCTAGCGTGGCCACTGCGTTGATGTTGGGCTTTTGCTGTAAGACTGTCTCGTCCAAGGGCTGTAGCTGGGAGGGGAAAGAAGAGGTTTAGGAGGGGGATTGGGTGGTGGTGTCTACCACTCTAACCAGCCCCATTCAGCCTCAGACATTGCTCATGACAGGAGGAACCCCTACTCAGAAAGCCCTCTGACCACCAGCTGTCCCTAGGACTCTCAGGAAAACTTTCCCAAGCGCCCTCAGTGTTGCTTGACCCAGGAAGAAGACCTCCCTCCCGGCCCTTCAGCCCCTGGCTACTGGCTTACATCTCTCAGCCCCTCCCTGCACCCCTCACCTCTACGCTGAGCAAAGCAGAGACACAGGCCTCAGAGGCATCACAGATGGCGGTCAAGTCGTGCCCTCCCTCCAGGGCCAGCACCACCCGGCCCCCTGCCAGTGTCATCAGCTGCCTGGTCAAGTGACCAAAACCTTTAGGGATGAGTGAAGGAAGATGAAATAGTTAAAAAAAAAAAAAAATCAAGAGAAAGAAAGGAGAGAAAAAGAAACGAGATAGGACAAACAGCACAAAATAAGATGGTAGATTTAAACTCAAATATATCTCCATAATAAAATTTAATGTCAATGCCCATTAAAGACAAAACATAACAGACTGGCTAAAAAAATCCAATTACATGTCTTATAAGGAGCACCGCTGAAACAGGAGGGATCAATAAGCTCTATCCCTAGGACTCCAGGAGGAGATGCACCCTCTGCTATGCCCCCACCCTCATCCCACCGCCCCGCTAACCCCTCAAAACCAGGGTTGGCAGAAACTGGTGGGGCACTGCCAGGATGATTCCAAGTCTTAGACCTGCCCCAGCTCTCCTCCTCCCAGCTCTGCAATATCAGTCTATTCCTGCTCCATGCCCCCACTCAACCCCATCCTCACTGTTCAGCCTCCCTCAATCCCGCAGCAGGCTCACATCTGGCGGTAACAGAGTAGCCACCCAGTGGAGATAGGTGTCCCTCAACAGCATCAAACCCGGCGGAGACTAGGACCACGTCAGGTGAGAACTCGTGGGCAATGGGCATCACCACTGTCCTGCAAAAGGAGGGCCCAAGCTGACCCTGGCAGGAGGCTGGGCCAAACCTCACCCCACTCTCGTGTCTGTCCCCCCAAGTCAGCCCCCTCCACCCGCACCAAACTGTGCCTCTACCCCCAACCCACGGCAGGGCCTGGGGGGTCCCCACCCTTCCCTTGGCCCTTCTCAGTCCCCACCTGAAGGCCGTTAGGTACTCCACATCTCCGATGGGGGGGTCCACACCTCCCGTCCATGCCACGTTCACATTGTACCCCACACCTGGCCCTCCGCCAACCTGGCAGCATGGTGAGGGAGGGGTTATTCTCGCTGCTTGGGGGTCCCAGACATTGCCCCCGCCCTCAGCCCTGCCTGCAGCCCTCACTCCACTGACCTCTGCTCTGCATGGATGGGCAGTTGGTTGGCGTGGTCCTCCCACTAGGAACCCAGATGCCCCAGGTACCAGCACCACCACGGGCCTCTAGGACTCTGTCAGGTCCCATTCCACTACCTCCCCGAGGGGCCCTGAGTGTGAGCCCAGGAGCTATACCTCTTCAGGAGCCCCGGAGCCTGGAAAGAAGTTCCCATTGTCATAGCGATGCAGAGAGATATAGAGCACAGAGGGGTCATTGTAAAACGCTTGCTGGGTTCCATTGCCGTGGTGAATGTCCTAGTGAGGAGGAGTGGAAGCATCAGGAAAATGGCCCAGGCTCTGACCCAAAGGTCAAAATCCACTTGTCCTATGGTGAACCCTGAGGGTGCAGCCCACCATTAGCTCCAGGGCATCTGTGTTCTGTTCATAATAGTGATGACCCCACTTCTCTAATCAGGGTCTGCGGGCCGGGACATGGTGCCATGCAGGAAATACACAGCCATGGCGAGAATGTGGTGATACACTACCAGAGCCCATTCTATACTCAGTGTGGAGGGCAACGTTAAGGCTAGTAAGGAATTGAAAACCGATACATTCTGAAGAAAAATCCCACATTAGTATGACTTTTTAAGCCAAAGTTGGATTTCAAAGAGATTTCATCCTTGATGAGGATTGTTCCTGGCTTCTACTTCCCTAGCTCACAGGGAGTGGTGGATGCCTCTCCCCCTGCCATGAGAGGCAAGGTTTGAGAAGCGCTGGGGCCAAAACGCCCAAACTGAAACCCAGTGCCAACGCCCCAAGCTAAGCGACCTTCGTTGAGTAAGTCACCCAACTGCTCAGTGTCTCCATTTATAGTAAGAGACATCTTAATTCTTATTTGCAAGGTGGCCATCAGTAGCACCATGTGTCCTGACACATGGTCAGCCCCCAGTCGAGAGTGGTTCTAGCAATGGCAGTAGCTGTCTCTACTCTTCAAGGTAGGGAGTCCCTTCAGTTGCTTGAGGCTGCAAGGTGGGGCCAAGATAGACCAGGGACTAAAACCACTTTTGAGCTTCTCCCAGTGAGGAGGGAGTCCCATGGGAATGGAGGGTTGGACTAATGCTCCAGCAGGAGGATGTAAGGCAAGCCATCAGGCCCAGCTCCAGCTCTGGCACCTGAGGAAGAGGGGGCAGGGTTGGGTGGGGGCTTCCTGAAGGCTAACCCTGGCCCCAGCAGCCCAGTGCTTACCCAGTCTACGATGAGAACCTTGCCCACGTTTAGCTTCTGCTGCAGGAGTTTGGTTGTGATGGCTACAGAGTTGAAGAAGCAGAATCCCCTGGGGAGAGGGGGGAGAAAAGGGCGGGGAGGTCAGCCTTAGCAGAGGTTTGCTCCATGAGCACAAGATAACACGCATTACCTCGCTGAGAGGGAGGAAGGGTGAGGGCAGCTGTTCTAGTGCAGGGCTGGCGTGGCACTCACATGGCTGTGGATTCCTCGGCGTGGTGTCCTGGGGGCCGGATGATGGCAAATCCATTCTAAAGAGGTGCAGACACAGGGACAGATGAGAGACAGACCAGCAGGCAAGGTGTTCATGAATGGGTGGACGCAGGAGAAGCATAAGCCAGGCAAGAAAGAAAACAGATCAGAAATACAAATCCTGCACGCCTATAGGAATGCCAACCATGGGCCACATGGGCAGGCAGGCAGACTCATCCCTGGCCTTGCGATACCCATGAGAGCACCAGATATTAGTGCCGCTTTTTCGGTCCCTCTTGACCCCTCATCACCCAGCTGGCCCAGGAACTGTCGCCTCCCCACTCTGGCACCTTAGAGTTGAGGTTGCAAAGGACTGTGCCTTACTAAAGGGAAAGCCAAGGCTGCCCCATCCTCTGCTCCTGAAGGTTCAGGACCAAACCAAGCAGGGCTGAGACACCCCCACACACACTCACCTTGAGTTCTCCAGCCGCCACCTTGAAAGCCAGCTCCACCAGGCAGCCCACTGCCATGCGTACGGCACTGGAGGAGTGCATCTCATTCCATACAGTGTCACTGTCCACCTGCAGGGGCAGGAGAGCAGGCTTCAGCGTGCCCCCTGCAGGGGGAGGGCAAGAATGGGGGTGGGCACCTGGACAGTGGGCCAGCAGCCATGGCGGGCAGGGAGGGGCCAGAGCTGGGAAACACCCACCCATCCCCACTGGCAGGTGCCCTACTCACCCCAATGCCCCCACAAGGCAGCATGGCGTACATCTTCTGGCTTATGGGGCCTGCAGGGAAGAGAAACAGCTACTCTGGAAACTGCCTCAACTGCCAGGGCTTCAGAGGGCAGTGGGTTCAGTCACAGAAAAAGGCCAGAACCACACACAGGACAGGCCTCTGCAGCCCACGCCAGTTGGAAGATGTCTGTCCCCTGTTCAGGGGGACATCCTACCTCTGGGGCAGATGGCAGGGAGAAAGGGGCATGGTCAGTTAGGGAGGAAAGCAAAGCAAGCCCCCATCATGAAGCCTGACCCCATCTTCCATCCTGCAACGCATCCCACCAGCATTCTCTGATCATGTCATATTCTATTGGGTTGTCGGAAAAGTCATGGTGTATTTTTTCTATGTTTTTCATTGCAAAAATGCATCATAACTTTTCCGACAACCCAATATGTGAAAGGCGCACCGGGAGGCGTGTGATGTGGCATCGTACCACCTCTGCTAAGGGGAAGACCTGTGCTCACGGAGACCCACTTGCCTATGCTTACCAGGCGGTCTTCCTGACAGCCCCCTATTCTACCCAGGCCTGGGCCATACCCTGCCCACCAGCCTGCTGTCTCACCAAGCAATTTCTTGCTGTCCAGCTTCTGTCGGTTGAGGGGGCTGGTCCCATAGAGCAGAGTGTGGTATTCGGAGTGCACCGTCTGAATCTCATCTAGCGTGGCTTTGCGGCCCCGGATCCGCTGGCAGGAGACAGCAGGAGGAGAGGAGTGGCACTGAAGGCCCAGCCCTCCCTGATGCCCAGACCCTCTCTGCGCCACAGCCTGGGGCCCACAGAGCCACTTCTGGCCTCAGGAGATCTAAAGAGTTTTGAGAAAGTATACCCTGGCCCCCCAGAGACCCCAGTCCAGGACCCTCCCCCATTCAACTGGGGACAATGGAGTAAAACTGGTTGCAAGGGATGGAACTGGGAGGCAGCTGTGGGGACTGGCCCTGGGGTCAGGGGTTGAACAGAAGATGAAGAGACATAGAGAGGCTTCACCAACAGCGAGGACATAACGGATTTCGCTGAGCTTGAGTTGGGGGCTAGTGGAAGGAGGGGCTCCCTTACCTCACATTTGCTAAGCAGGCCCGTCTCCTGCAGCCGGGACCAGATGCTCTGGATCCGGCCGGCGTGCTCGGGGTGCACGTGTGTGTTCCCGCACATGCACTGGTGCTTCAGCATGAAGGTGTCGTAAACCACACCTGGGCCAGAGACACCCGTCAGCCAGCACTGCTCTGGGCCTTGTCACAGCCTGGCCACTGCAATCCCCAGCAAGTTCACTGAGCTCTCCCAAGCCCATCATGGCCCAAGAACCTCCTCATGGTCACCCCAGCCACCCTCCTGCACACCTGCCCCTCTTCTCCTAAAATTCCTTTCCTCCATTACTGCCTGTCCAAAGCCTCCCTGGTTCCTCAAGCCTCAACCACACTGCCCTTGACACCCCCACTGGTTTTGATCTCTGCCTACCGTGCTCCCAACGCTGTACCCCCTCATGGCACCTCCTCCTTTCCCTGCGCCTGTCACAGCCTGTGTGCTGCTCCCCCCACCCCTACACCACACTGGTGAGACAGAACCATCCTCAGACATCTATGCCTTCTCAGAGCCCAGCACAGGGCAGCTTCATGGGGAAGACCTTTCTGGAAGGGACAGGGGCCTCATCTGTGGGAAGCTGGGACAGGACCCAACGGAGACAGTGGGCTTTCTCCACCCACTGGAGGGCTTGTGCAGTGAATGCACAAAATCAGGTGGTCCCTCAGCAGTGGCGGGTGGGGGCCCTGAGAAAGATGCTGCCACAGTGGGTAGGGACAGGGCACTCACCCTCCCAGGGGGCAGAGGTTGGCACTACAACCACAGGTGGCTGTGTGCACAGGGAGAGAACAAAAGCCTGTTTTTTTGCCTCCCTTTGCGGCACTCTGAGAGGCTCCAGCAATCCCTTCAGGGCAAGAGCTTTATCTCTTCACAATGCCCACCATGCTGGATGCCATGCACAGGCCCCTGGCACATGGCAGAAGGATAGCCAGCAGTGGTGGGGCTCACCTGTGGTGAAGAGGTGCTTGGTGGGCTGGTCTGGGGGGCTCTTCATGCCCCCAGGAGCAGCAGGTGAGGACTGGGTTCGGCCCAGGGCCTGGTGGGGCACAGTGGACAGGCTGAGGGGTGCCTGGTACACCTGCAGTGGCTGCAGCTGCTGGGTATCTGAGAACACCTGGGAAGGAGGAAGGTGGGAGGGAGCCTGGGTGAGGCTTAGCCTGAAATGGCAGAGAGGACAGGTACCCTGGGGCCTCCAGGGGGGGCCCAATCCAGCCCTTCCAAACCTCCTCCTTCCCCCACCTCCTGCCTCCAGGGACAGGAGACACTCCAGCCTTTGCTGTCTCCAACTCAGAGAAGATGGGGCGGGATGGGGGGACAGTGATGAGTCATGCCAGAGTAGCATCGAGGTAAGAGGGACGGGGGTGTCAGAGGGGGCGGAATGAGTCAGGCCCAGAGAGCTCGGCTGTGTCCGCAATGAATGGAGTACATGCTAGGCGCAGGGCAGACTGTAGTAACAGCGGGGGCGTGTGTGTACACACACGCATATGCATGCACAGAGACCGACACACAACCGACCCTAATGCAGGCAGATTCACGCACGCACGCACGCACGCACGCACGCCGATAGGTGGGGGCAGTCACAGATGCAGGGAGGGGTTGGCCGACTAGGGTTGACAGACAGCTCTGAGACCAACACAAGCAACTCCATCCCTTCCACAACCCCTTGTCTCTTTCCTATTCCCTTTTTGCTCTCTTCAGAAAGCTGCCCTGCACTTCCTGGAAACTGCAGATTGGGGAGAGGGAAAGGCAAGGGCGGAAAGGGGTTGGGAGGAGAGAGGGGTGGTGATCAAGGGCTGGGAGGGGGCACCTTTTTGTAACCAGCACTGGACTCCTCCAAGTCAGGCCCCTCCTCAGCACCACTCTCGCCCTCCTCATCCTTGACCTGGATGCAGTCCTCCTCCTCCTCCTCCTCTTCCTCCTCCTCCCCTTCTTCCTCCTCCAGGTCTTCCTGCGTGCTCTCACTCTCTGTGGAGCCTTCTCTGGGTATGGTCAGGGCTCCCTCCCCCAGCAAGGCCTCCTGCTGCTCTGTCAGCTCCTCTTCTGTCTCCTCGGGGTGGGTGGTGGGCTGTCGTGGCAGCTCCCCAGTCTTGGTGAGGATCTGGGAGCAGAGCAGAGGGGGTGCAGCAGCTGGGAAGGGGAGCAGCCGTGCAGCCTGTGGCCCAGGAGGGTCCATTCTTCCCTCCCCTCTCCCAGGCAGCCAGCCAGCCCGCCCATACAGAGCTTCTCTGTGAATCAGGAAAAGGCAAGGTAGCTCCCTCCCTTCCTGCCGCTCGTCCTGCCCCCAGCACAGCCCTGCACATTTGTTTCCCTCAGCTCACCTTGCCCAGCTGTAGCTGCTGCTGCTTCTGCTTTTCCAGGAACTGCTGGTGCTGTTGCTGCATGACCAGCTGCTGCAGGGCCTGGGGGCTCTGGGGTAGCGGTGAGGACTGAGTGCGGCTAAGGGGTCGGTGCCTTGGGAGCTTGCCCACTGTCCGCATGCTGGTGGCCACTCGTTCACCTGTCACCAGTGGGGACTGCCCATGGAGTGGCACTGCAGGGTGGGCAGGGGGGAGGGGAGTAACCATTATTGTCAAGGCACCAGCTAACCCCATCCTACTCAGAGACTCTCCACCTCCTAACATACCACCACCTACATACTCAGGAATAACCTTGGAGGGGCCTGGAGCACCCTGCCCCCAAATCTGAGCCCCGTTCTTCCTCCTCCCTACAACTGAACAGTCTCACAGTGCAGAGCCAGTGTCTCCAGCAAGCCTTCCTCGACTGTCCATTCTCTCCCTCTGATTCGCTTACGATTGTACATGCAGTCTCAGGCCCTCCATGTGAGTGAACAGTGACTCGCTGTCTCCAACAAGACCTCCCTGATCATGGACAAGGATCCCACCAGGCTGGGAGCCTGGGGGCGAGGATCCGTGTCTTTTATGCAGAGCCTCTTGGCTGACTGTCTAAAGCTATGCTGTCCAATCCCATGGCTGCCAGCCCCACATGACTGCTAAGCACTAGAAATGTGGCCTGTCCCAACTGAGATGTGTTCTACATGTGAAATTCACATTGGATTTCAAAGACAGGATGAAACACAAAATAAAATATCTCATTGGTAACTCTTTGATTATATGTTGAAATGATAATTTCTAGATACACTGAGTTAAATGATATTAAAATTAATTTCATCTGTTCCTTTTGACATTTTTTAATGTGGCTACTAGAAGACTTTGTTTTTTATTTATTTATTTTTTAATTGGGGAACAGTGTGTTTTTCTAGGACCCATCAGCTCCAAGTCAAGTGGTTGTTCCAATCTAGTTGTGGAGGGCGCAGCTCAGTGGCCCATGTGGGGATCGAACCGGCAACCTTGGTGTTATGAGCACTGTGCTCTAACCAACTGAGCTAACCGGCCGCCCCAGAAGACTTTAAATTACACATGCAGCATGTGTTATATTTCTATTGAACAGTGCTGCTCTGGAATACGAGCTCCATCGTGGCAGCAGATGTTATCGAGAACAGTGCCTGAAAAGTTGTAGGTACTCAGTATGTCCGTAGATTGTGGAATTAATCAATGATGCCACTGAGGAGCACTGTGACAGGGCTGGAGGGTATCTGGCGCCTTCTCCCTGACAGTCCTGCCTTGAGCCTCAGGAGTGAGGCCTGACTCCCACTTCCTTGCACAGCTGCCCGCCCACTCACCAGCGATGAGGGTGCTCTGTTGCCGGGCCTGCTCCAGCAATAGCACGTGCTGCAGCAGAGAGGCATGCCCGTGGGGACTCGAATCGCCCTCCAGTGCCACGCCCAGCAGGCAGCCAGGGATGGACGATGTGCTCATGAACTTGCCCGTCAGTGCACCACCCTGCCGCAGGGACTGGAGGGCCTGCCTCTCGGCCTCCTGCTGCGTTGACAGCTTCGGGGAGGCCTATGGATGGGGAGGGGAGACCGAGATGAGGCAGTGGCTTATACTGCCCCAAGTCCTGCCAACTTTGGACCAGCATCCCTCACCTACTCTCTGTCCACCCCCTACGCCCCACTCTGGAAAAGGCCATCTGATTTCCATCAGGGCCTTGAGAGACAAAAGCCCCAGCTGGGGGCATCTAGGACCAAAGCACTTAACACCAGAGAAAGAATAGGGTATGTGCCTGTACTTACGGTGAGGTGCGAGTTGGTGACAGTGACCGTGGCCTGTAGCCCTAGGGAGATGTTGGGCAGAGAGGGAGACGTGTAGAGGCTGAACTGGTTGGGGGAGCTGTCCAGAGGGAGGGCCCGGTGCTGGGGGAGCATCTGAGGAGCAGTCGGGAGAGATGGGCATGAGCACAGGTAAAGGGGGGCCACCTGAGGCTGAGGCCAAGGGCTGTGCCCCGCTCCCCACACCGAGCCCCACCAAGGGGGTACTGAGAGTCACAGCCCTTCAGGGGCCAATGGGGCATATCCCACTTCATGGCAACAGATCCCTCTAGCCTGTCCACTCAGGCAGAGAGGTCCCTGCTGGGCACTCTCAGCGAGACAGACTGGAAGGAGCTGCCCTCTTTCTTCCAAGGGAAAAGGAGCCGCTCTGGCCCGCCCGCCCCACCCTGGCAGGCCTGTACCTCGGTGGGGATGTTGGGGACTGAGCCAGTAAAGCCGTTCTCAGCGATGGTGCTGTGGGAGCTGTTGGGAGAGCTGGGGCCAGAGCCTGGCGCGCTGTTACACACTGACGAAACTACAGGAGAAGTGGCTGTCACCGTGGCCTGCTTGAAGCCACCTCTACTCCCAGGCCCTCAGAACAGGGACAGGGGAGGAGCCCTTACCCCCAGGTCCGGCACCTGTGATCTCAACAGCTCTCTTCTTAAAGGTGCTAATGACGGTTCCATCCTTGCGCCGCAGGAGGGGACTGCTTCTCCGCTCAGCCACCTTCTGCTTTAGCCTTGAACGCACTTTCAAGTTGGGTTCAGAGGCTGGGGAGAAAGTAGCTGGGGTTCGGACATAGCCACGCAAAGGGGCACACACCTACAGCCCAGCAGCCCTTCTACATTCCCATCTCTACCTCCCAGGGGCCACATTCTGGGAGGCCAGGCTGGGCACTCACGCACCTGTTTTGCGGAGGGGGAAGTCATCGCGGCTGTCATAGGGCCCAAGCAAAGGCAGTTTGTAGGAGGGAGGTGTCCCAGGGGGGCCACTCTGGGGAGGGGAACTCTGGTCCAAAGAAGCATGGTGGGCTCCCCTGGGGGGGTGGAGAGAGGATAGAAGACAGATCTAGGTTATCACCCAGCTAGCTGGATCTGCCACCTGGCCGTCTACAATTATGAAATATCCACTGCCTGTAGGGCTAGGCAGTGGATGCTGGGAAGGGAAGCAAGGAGAGAAACCAGGGGTGGGAATCTCCTCTCCTCGGAGAGATTGCAGGGCCTGCATATGGCTTCAGGCCAGGAGCTCCTTGGCAGCCTGGAGCCAGGCAGCCCCTGAGCAAGGCACCTATGTGACCCATGCCTGCCAGAGCTATTACCAGCATTTGGGATGCTGTGGGAGGGAATGGTTGAGGCCGCCTGGCGTGGGCTCCTTTGACTTCGACAGGAGGAATTCCTGGAGCCTCAGCTTCACCTCAGTGCTGGCGATGGCACCTGTGGGATAGGGTACAGCTGAGCTGGGTGCCTGGGGCCAGGACCCCACAGCCACAGCAGGGGGGTAGAGGGGGACAGGGGTCCTGGCTGGCCCTAGGGGGGCCCCAGGCCTTACTCTCTTTGCTCTTCTCCTTGTTCCGCAGGATAAGCAGCTGCTGCTCCAGCCGCTGCTTCTCCAGCTCCTCCTGCCGCTGCTGCTCCCGCTGCCGCTGCTGCTCCAGCTCCTGCTGCCTCTTGGCTGCCAGCATCTCCTGCTGCTGCTGCAGAGATGTGTGGCAGGGAGGGGGTGAGCCAGGTCCGGGCGGGGGTCAGAGGTCTGGGTGGCCCCTGCCCCGCGCCCCCCTCGCTCACCTTGAGGTGCTTCTGCAGCTGGACCTCATGCTGCCGCGTCAGGTGGTCATGCTGTTTCTGGAACTCTGCAAACAGGAGCTGCTTTTGCAGCTGCTGCTGCTGCTTGAGTGCCAGGAGCTCCTGCTGCAGTTGCTGCTCCCGCAGCGCGGGGTCCACAGGGCCTGCCAGAGCCCCCCGCAGCTCCACAGGGCTGGGGCTGCCTCCACCCCCGCCCCCCATGGAGCTGGGCATGGCTCCTGGCAGCACCGGCTTCACCTCCACTGCCGGAAGAAAAGACAGCAAGGGGTCAGGGGGCCCAATCCCAGACCCCACTAGGCCCTGGCAGCCATGCTGAGGGCCCAGCGAGCCACCAGGCAGGACTGCTAGACAAAAAGAGAACAGAGGGTGGGGGAAGTCAAATCACTCTGCTCTGAGGATACAGCCTTCTGCCTTAATTAAATGAGGTCGAAGCCATGAACTTCAATAAGAAAAGATGCATAAGCATGAAGCATAGTACCTGAGAGATTCTGAGTGCTCCACACACACTACTATCATTGACAGTTAACACCCCTGGGTATTTTATATGAATTACTTTACTGATGAGGAAACTGAGGTTTTGAGAGGTTTAAGTAACATGACCAAAGGCAGACAGCCAGGTGATCGATGAACCAAGATGTGAATCCAAATGCTATACTTTTAACCACTGTCCTTCCTGTGCCTCCTCCCCCATCTCTCAACACCACACACTCCCCTCCAAGAAGCCTATACTAGAAGGGAAATCGAGGCACAGAGGTTGGTTCTAGAACTGATGGGGCTGACAGCCTGGGTCCTCAGTAAACCCAGGAGAGGCCTTTGGGGACCCTCTGGACATCCCTCCCCCCTCCCCTTTTCTCTGCTCCACAGCCTGCTGGGGCAGATGGGGGCCAGGAGGAGAGGCTATGGGAGTGGGGGGTGGGGTGGGAGCAGGAGGCCTCAGGGAAAGGGGGTGCAGAGCTGCACCAAGCCAGGGACAGAAGGGGGCTGGGAGACAGACTCGCTTCCTTAGCTGGATTATCTCCTTTCAACAGTTTTATTGTAATTACCCTAAAAATGCCTCTATATATAGAGTGAGCCAAACAGCAGCTGTGCCTAGGGGGAGGGGGGAATGAGAGAACGGGAGGGCAGGCGCAGGGAGGAGGTGGGAGGAGGAGACAGGAAAGGAAAGGGAATCAGACAGGAAGAAGGGTAATAGCAAGGGGGGCTGGAGCTGAGGCAGAGATCTCAGAACTCCAGTCCCAGGGACAACCCGCTGGGAAGGGGAAAGGGGCCAAGGGGCCTACTGGGTCCCAAGACCTTGGATCCAGGCCCTCATGTGGACAATGGGCTGAGGGCCCAGGGAGTGGCAAAAGGTTCCAATGGGAAGGATGGGTCTCGACCTCTTGATCCCTGTACACGATCCTCTGGTCACTGAATGTCACTTCCCACCAATGCCCTGTGGTTGCCAAGACAACTAGGCAAACACCACGCTAGCAAGGAGCCCCAAACCCAGCCCACACCCCACAAAGCCTTCTGACGCCAGCAGGAAGGGGAAGGCAGGCTACCCACTGCCTGGAAAGGAGGAAGTGAGAGAGGCAGGGACAATCTATCTTGTTTCTTTTCCATTTCTTTCTCCAGAGAAAGCCCTCACTTTCCTCACTCCAGCCCAAGGAGGTCACAGGGAGCTGGGAAAACTTTCCTGTGGCAAGGTGGCCCACTCCAGCGCAGGCCTAGAGAGGAAAGGACCCCAACATCGGATGGCTGCCAGTGTCTCCTGCCCTCATGAGCAGGCCTCTGCCCAGGCCCCCACCACCACCCCTCATCAGGAGTAGAGAGGGAGCAGAGAAGGGGCGAAGGGCTGAGCTAAGAGAGGTTCCCACACTCTGTGCAGTCTATGGACATGCATCTCTCCAGGGAGCCTGCGCTGAAAGAGTAACCAAAGCAGGGGCTAGCATGCTGGAGGCCAAGGCTATGCTACCCTCACGCGTGAACATGGCCTCTAGGACCCACTGGAGGGGGGGGCGGGGAGGTAAAGCCTGAGCAGAATGTCTCTCTCAGTCCCCACCAGCTCCTTCTCCCCGCAGCGCTGCTCGGCACATTCCTCTGTGGTTTGTCGGCCAGCCACACTGACGACTCTGCGGCCAGGAGGCCAGAGCCACATCTGCAGGAGTGGCCAGATGTGGCCGAGAGGGTGGGGCTACACACACACACACACACACACACACACACACTCTCTCTCTCTCTCTCTCTCACACTCTCTCTCTCTCACCTACCTACCCACCCACTTTTCCTCCCAACCCATGTCCTGTCCCAGCACCAGGAAGACAGACCCTTGGAAACTGCAAAGAGCCTTTCTGGAGGTGACTGGCACCATCTAGGGTACAAAGCAGGGTGGCAGCAGGAAGCCAGCAGCCAACCACAGGTCTCCCCAGCTCAGGAAAAGCTCAGCAAGGCCCCAAGTTGCTTGGAGAGAGTTATCTGTTCCTAGGCAAGGCTGGCTTGGCCTGGGGCACTCAGATCACTCAGCCAAGAGGTGGACAGGCTTCAACCTGCTGCTCCCGGCAGTGCTGGGGCTGTGGGAGCCAGATGCCAGCCCGCCCGCCCAGGGAAGAGCAGGGGTCCAAGCACTCCTGGCTCCCAGCAGATAATCCTGCTCCGGATGGAACTGCCACCACTACTGCTGGCTTCCCTTGCAGGAGCCCTGCAGAGAGGGCATGGGCTCGGATGAGGGGAATCTCCCACCAGGGTTTCCGCACAGCTGCTGCATCACCCTGCGCTGCAGTGAGAGCTGCAACCCCATTGGTATGCAGATGGCGGGAGAGCCAGCGGGTTCTGCCACACAGCATGTTCCCACGCAATCAGGAAGCACGGGCGACTGGAGAATATTAATCTGCAGGCCCTGTGGGGCCTGGACAGGATGCAGCACCTCACGGGTCTGCCAGGTAGTGACCTGGCTTCATCCAAGATGAAAGGGGGTGAAGCTGGGCAGCTGGAGTCAGGAAAAGGGTAGGGGAGAGGCACAGAGCCCCTGAATATAGTCTGCTGGTCACAAAACTTAGAGCCTGGCTGGCCTTGCACCCCATCAAAGATCTGTGCCCTCTGCCAGCTTGGCATGAGCAGAGCAGGTAGCAGTGACTGCCATTAGAACCAAGCACCTAGAAAGGGAAATGGGTGTGTAATGAGAGGAGGCTCTCGATCTAGGTGGACCTAGAAAGGTGGGAGGACCTCTAGAAAGGGAAGAGAGTGGGAAGAGGGACACTACTCCCTTAGAGAACAGGCTGGGACCTCACTAGCAAAGAGCCCATGGAAAGGCCAGGGGAGTGGTCACATGGAAGGGTGAGGTCCTGGGTCCTCCCCCTGCCCCCATGCCTCCTTCTGAAAGGAAGCTGTAGGTGATAGAAAGTAAGCCAGACAGCCAACACAGCAATCTCCTGCAGGGGAAAGACGGAAGTGCTGTCTACCCTGCTCCGGACTGTGCTCGTTCCTGGGGACTTGGACCTTCCTCCTGAGAGTGCTGGCCTTAGGAACGAGCGGCAACATCACCCTGTCCTCTGGCCTTCTGCAGGTCTGACCAACACTGCTGGGAAAGCCCAGCCCAGGTAGCAGGGTGGGCAGGGCCGAGTACTTCTAGCCATCACAGTAACCCCGCACATACCAGGCTCTGGCTCAGAAGGAGCCAGCTCATGGGCACGACTGGGCAGTGGTGACATCTTCCCATCCGGCTGGGCCCCCTACGTCTCCATGAACCTCCATCTGCCCAGTGGGGGCTCCCACAGCAGATTCTTTGTGCAGCATAACCAGGGATAGCGTGGCTCCTTGGAGGGAAATGATGTGGATGCTGATGGGGCCACCTCTGGGACAAATGCCAACACAGCCTTCAACTAAAAAGACTATCCAGGCAAAGGGATACTGCCCCCAAGCACACAAGTGGCTCTGGGATAAGAGAAGCAGGTTTGAGCAGCACTTTTGGGAATAACGGTTCAAAATAAAAAACAGATCTAGCTGCCCAAGAGCAAGACCAAAGCCTTCTTGCTCTGAACACACCGTAAGCCATGCCCCAGCTCCTGGCCTTTTCTTAGAGAAGTCCCCAACTCCAGAATCCCTGTGACCCAAACCCTGGCAACAGGGAAATGGTACGTTTAGTTCCCCTTGGAGAAGCCCTGGAGGGAGTGGGGCGGCACAGTGTGTGGACCTCCCCAGCAGATCTAAAGAGCTTAACACTTGGCTCTAAAAACACCCCGCTCTCAGGAGCCACCAGCCACAGAAGGCTGGGAAGGAGAAGGGGACCGAGGCATACTCAGGAGTATGAGGGAGGGGTGCATTAAGCTGTTTGGAACGTCTAGGAGAAAAATGAGGCCTTTGAAGGTAAGCCCTAGGTCTGAGGAGCCACCCTAACAAAAGAAGGGTGAAGGTTAAAGGGGCCTTTGACATCATCTGTTTCAGTCCCCTTGTTACACAGATGAGGAAACCAAGTCTCTTAGGCTCCTGTGCAGGAGATCCCACCAGCTAAGTAGCAGATGTCCTGATGTCCAGCTCGGGCAGGCTGCCTCTGAATACTAGCCCGTGCAGCCTGGCTCCAACACGGGCATCCCAGGTGCTCATCGCACACCAGACCTGGACAAATGGCCCATCTGGAGAGCAACAGGTCAGCAGCCCCCACTGGAGGGCAGTGCCTTCTACCAGCACCCATGCCCTCAGGAGCTCCCTTAATAGTCAGCACCTTCCTTAAGTGTCTAATGACCTTGTTCTGTCCCTCTGGAGAATGGGAAAAGGCTCTTCTTGTCCCTTTCCTGGCCTTGAGGAATTTTGGAAGGGGGCGGGGAACAGCATTTCACACTCCTCCCCATGACGCTGATGACCCCTCCCCACCAAGGACAGTTTCCCATGATCTATTTCTGTGCTCTTACGTGATTAATGAGGCCAATTTAGGCTCAACAGGTTCTACCACAATTCACACGATATTTCTACATGTACGAGCTGGGGATGGCGCTCATCTAGCAATTTTCACAACTCCTCATGTAACGCAAGCGGACACACATCTCATAATGGTTAAGAGCAAGGGCTCTGGAGTAAGAGAATGCCAGGGTTCAAGTCAGGCTCCACCACTTCCTAGGGCAAGGCACAGAGCACCTCCCTGTGTTCTGTGCCGGCATCTGGGAAATGGGAGTATGAATAGCACCTACCTCCCAGAGCTGTTGGGCTCAGGAGAGATAACACATGCAGAACAGCTTGGCACAGGGTCTGAGTAGGTCTCAGGAGGTGCTAG